AAAAAAAAAAAAAAGAGATAGGGTCTATGGCCCAGGCTGGAGTGCAGTGGCTCGATCATAACTCACTGGCAGCCTCGAACTCCTGGGCTTAAGCGATCCACATGCCTCAGCCTCCTGCCTCAGTAGCTGGGACTACAGGAGCTTGCCATCGTGTACGGCTAATTTTTATTTTATTTTTATTTATTTTTATTTTTTATTTTTTAGACAGAGTCTCGCTTTAGCCTCCAGGCTGGAATGCAATGGCCCGATCTCGGCTCACTGCAACCTCCGCCTCCCAGGTTCAAGCGATTATCCTGCCTTAGCCTCCCGAGTAGCTGATATGACAGAGGCACACCACCACACCAGGCGAATTTTTTTTTTTTGTAAGTCTAATATTTTTTTTTTTTTTTTTTTTTTGAGACGGGGTCTCGCTCTGTCGCCCAGGCTGGAGTTCAGTCTCCGCTCACTGCAAGCTCCGCCTCCCGGGTTCGGGCCAGTCTCAGTCTCAGCCTCCCGAGTAGCTGGGACCACAGGAGCCCGCCACCACGCCCGGCTAATTTTTTTTGTATTTTTTAGTAGAGACGGGGTTTCACCGTGTTAGCCAGGATAATCTCGATCTCCTGACCTCGTGATCCGCCCGCCTCGGCCTCCCAAAGTGCTGGGATTACAGGCGTGAGCCACTGCGCCAGGCCTGTAAGTCTAATTTTTAATTTTTTTTTTGTTTGTTTGTTAAGAAACATTGGTCTCACTATGTTGCCTAGTCTGGTCTCAAACTCTAGGGTTCAAGCGATCCTCCCTCTCCCCAGAGGGTTGGGATTACAGGAGTGAGTCACTGCGCCCGGCCTGATCCCGTGACTTGTGACGCCAGATCGGACACCTGGGTCTTGTCTCACGGACAAGCTACTAAGACTCCCACTCATGCCCTGGGAGTCCCTTCCTCCCTCCTCCCTCGGGCTCCAGCCTCTCCCCTAGCTGCCCCTCCAGCCCCTACCTCCGATCTTGACTTCTCGGGTCCGGGCTCCCTACTTCTCCCAGCTCCCTTGGGACCTAGTCGTGCCCGCAGCCTCTCTGCAGGACCCAGACCCTCCTCCCTGAACCCAAGTCTTACCCTAGGCATCAACTTTCCACCCCCTTCCCTCCCTCGCCTAGACACGCCCCTGTCTCTCTCCCGAGCCCTCGTTTCTTCTTGCCCCAGGGCCCGCCCCTGCATCCCCTCCCCGCGCCCCCAACACACCTGGGCGATGCGGATCCACTTCTCCAGCCGCTGCGCCCTCTGCGGGGCGGTCAAGCCCGGCGCTCCGAGCACGGAACCCAGCACACAGCCGATCACTGTGTTGAACTGGGCCACGGTGGCGCGCACAGTGGGGGAGGCGCCTGCAGCCCCGGGCCGGTCCCTCTGCGACCACACGGAGCCCAGGCACTCGTAGGGCCTCACCTTGGAGAAGAGCTCCTGGGCCAGGGGAGGGGTGTGGGATTGGTGCTTAGCAGAACCTGTCCCCTCACTGTGGCTCATCCCAACCCAGTCCGGGATCCTCACCAAGTCCATGAGGGTCAGCTGCTCGGCCACCTCGTCCACGTTGAAGTCCAGGAGCTGGGGAGCTTGCGGCATGATTCCTTCCTCTTCCTCCGCGCAGGCCTCTGCAGAGTCTGGGTCAGAAGTTTGGGCAACTCTGGGAGGTCCTGATCATTAGAAAGGGTTACAAACTCTCAAGTTTGAATCCAAGACTGGCTGTGTGACCTTGGGCAAGTCCCTGTCCCTCTCTGAGCCTCACTTTCCTCATTTGTAAAACGGAGAACTCTCTGAATTTTTTTTTTTTTTTTTTTTTTTCTGTGACAGTCTTACTCTGTTGCCCAGGCTGGAGTGCAATGGCACAATCTCAGCTCACTGCAACCTCAGCCTCCTGGGTTCAAGTGATTCTCCTGCCTCAGCCTTCCGAGTAGCTGGGATTACAGGCATGTGCCACCATGCTCGGCTAATTTTAGTATTTTTAATAGAGACGAGCTTTCACCATGTTGGCCAGGCTGGTCTCAAATTCCTGACTTCAAGTGATCTGTCCACCTGGGCCTCTCAAAGTGCTGGGATTACAGGTGTGAGCCACCACGCCCGGCCCTGAATGTTTTTAGATGTAACAGCAACAGTAATGTTCACTAAGCAGCTAGTGTGGATTTATTCAGTAACTCACCACACCAGTCCAGTGAGGGAGGTACTGTTATTTATCCAGCTTTTACAGTTAAGGAAAGGGAGGCAAAGAACAATTTGTCACACCTTTGGTGAATGGCAGGTCAGGGATTTGAAGCCAGGTACTCAAAGGCCAAATAAGAAAATAAAGCTTTGTGATTTTGAATATGTATTAGGGTAAGATTATTCTGACCTCTTTTTTTTGGAAAGAGATGATATGACTTCCTGGTTCAGGGAAGGCTATTGTCAGAAAGTCTCAAACTCAAATGCAAACTTGTCCACTAGTTTGCTGTGTAAAGCATGTGTTTTAACCTCTCTGTGTGATTTTTTTTTTTTTTTTGAATGGAGTCTGACTCTGTCTCCCAGGCTGGAGTGCAATGGTGCGATCTTGGCTCACTGCAACCTCTGCCTCCGGGGTTCAACCAATTCTCCTGCCTCAGTCTCCCAAGTAGCTGGGATTACAGGCAAGAGCCACCACACCCAGCTAACTTTTGTATTTTTGTAGAGACAGGGTTTCACCATGTTGGCCAGGTTGGTCTTGAACTCCTGACCTCAAGTGATCTGCCTGCCTCGGCTTCCCAAAGTTCTGGGATTGCAGGAGTGAGCTGTCTTCTTTTTGAAACAGGCTCTCACTTTGAAACAGGGTCACACAAGCTGGAGTACAGTGGTGTAATCACAGTTCACCGCAGCCTCAACCTTTTGGGCTCCAGCGATCCTCCTGCCTCAGCCTCCTGAGTTGCTGGAACTACGGGCACACACCCAGCTAATTTTTTATTTTTTGTACAGACAGGGTCTCATTATGTTGCCAGGCTGGTCTCAAACACCTGAGCTCAAGCGATCCTCCCTCTTGGCTTCCCAAAGTTTTGAGATTGCGGGCGTGAGCCAGTGCACCTGGCTGTGGATTTCGTTTTTGTTTTTGTTTAAGATCATGTATACCAGATTACTATAAAGCGCTCAACAAATATGAATAATTTTATATAGTGGATTTTGATGGTGGCGCCCCCTAAGGGAAACTTTGGAAGTTGGGATCTTGAATTGTGCCCTCCAGCCTCCAAATGTCTCTCCAGACATTTGTGTCTTTGAATAACCTGTTTGTGGCTGGTACCAAGGTAGTGACTTATCTCAGTTGAGTGTTCACAGGTGCAGATCGAACTCCTTGTTCTACTTTTTCCCCACTTCTCACTACTGCACTTGATTTATCTTTAAGAAAGGAAGAAGGGGCCTGGCACAGTGGCTCACACCTGTAATCCTAGCACTTTGGGAGGCCGAGATGGGAGGATCACAAGGTCAGGAGATCGAGACCATCCTGGCTAACACAGTGAAACCCCATCTCTACTAAAAAATAGAAAAAATTAGCCAGGCGTGGTAGCGGGCGCCTGTAGTCCCAGCTACCCGGGAGGCTGAGGCAGGAGAATGGCCCGGAAGGCAGAGCTTGCAGTGAGCCGAGAACATGCCACTGCACTCCAGTCTGGGTGACAGAGCGAGACTCCATCTCAAAAAACAAAACAACAACAACAACAACAAAAACAAAAACACAAAGGAAAAACTTGTTTGCAATAATCTGCACCTACCTACAACCTGACTGTTTTGTTCATAAACACAAATTGTTTTGGCTCCAAGAATGCAAGGACCATGAAAGTCTGGGCTTTGCTTTGTTTGCAAATTGCAAATGTTGTTCACAAGTTTGGAAAATGATGTCCCCAGCACCTATGTTGCTGTCTTTGCCTCACCAGTGTCCTCCCCTGCATTAGTTGGTGCTTGTTGCTGTCAGTACAAAGCACTGTGACACTACACTGTGATGCTAGGACAGGCAAAGACACGGGACAACCTCATCATGTGTCCCAGTGGGGCATACCCAAGCATTACCCACTGAACACATGGTTTATTGCTGTGTAAATTACTCTCACTTTCCTCCTCCTTTGTACTAGTTATGGCATCATACTATGATTTTATTTATTTATTTTGTGACGGAGTCTTGCTCTGTTGCCCAGGCTGGAGTGCAGTGGCTCGATCTCCGCTCAAAGCAACCTCCACCTCCAGGGTTCAAGCGATTCTCCTGCCTCAGCCTCCTGAGTAGCTGAGACTACAGGAGGTGCCACTACACCCAGCTAATTTTTTTTTTTTTTTTAAAGTAGTGATGGGGTTTTATCATGTTGGCCAGACTGGTCTCAAACTCCTGACCTCAGGTGATCCCCCTGCCTCGGCTTCCCAAAGTGCTGGGATTACAGGTATGAGCCACTGCACCCTGCCCCACCCAATACTATTATTTTAAAATAATCTTTGTAAATCTGTGTAATTACCTCTTTCCTCTTGAATTAGGACCAGTGGCATTGCAAAATATTAGTTTCTAGAAGTGGGTACTGGGCTGGGCGCACCTATAATCCCAGCACTTTTGGAGGTTGAGGTAGGAGGATTGCTTGACACCAGGAGTTTGAGACCAGCCGGGGCAGCATAGTGAGACCCCATCTCTACAGAAAAAAAATTTTTTTAAGTTGCGCATCCTGATGCACACCTGTAGTCTCACCTACTCAAGAGGCTTAGGAGGGAGGATCTCTTGAGCCCAGGAGGTCAAGGCTGCAGTGAGCTCTGATCTTGCCATGGCATTGCAACCTGGGTGACAGAGCAAGAAACTGTCTCCCACCTCAAAAAAAAGTGGTCACTGGAAAAAAAATGCCCCTACATCTAATCAAACCTTTAAATGTTACAGAAATAATGGGGATAGAGAAACATGCTACATGAAACTATGAGGAAGCAAACAGGTAAGTCCAAAAGAATGTGAGGCATACCTCAGGACACATGACCCATGTTTTTTGCCCTCTAACGGCTTCAAACAAGAGGCAATGAGGATCTGTTACAGAATAAAAGAGACTTAAGAACAAACAACCAGTCAGGGGTGGTGACTCATGTCTGTAATCCTGACACTTTGGGAGGCCGAGGTGGGCAGATCTCTAGAGGTTAGGAGTTCGAGACCAGCCTGGCCAACATGGCGAAACCCTCTCACTACTAAAAATACAAAAATTAGCTGGGCGTGATGGTGGGCACCTGTAATCTCAGCTACTCAGGCGGCTGAGGCAGGAGAATCACTTGAACCCAGGAGGCAGAGGTTGCCGTGAGCCGAGATCACGCCATTGTACGCCAGCCTGGACGACAGAGTGAGACTCCATCTCAAAAAACAAAAGGAGGCTGGGCGCGGTGGCTCAAGCCTGTAATCCCAGCACTTTGGGAGGCCGAGACGGGCGGATCACGAGGTCAGGAGATCGAGACCATCCTGGCTAACACAGTGAAACCCCGTCTCTACTAAAAAAAAAATACAAAAAAAACCTAGCCGGGCGAGGTGGCGGGCGCCTGTAGTCCCAGCTACTTGGGAGGCTGAGGCAGGAGAATGGCGTGAACCCGGGAGGCGGAGCTTGCAGTGAGCCGAGATCCGGCCACTGCACTCCAGCCTAGGCGAAAGAGCGAGACCCCGTTTAAAAAAAAAAAAAAAAGGAAAAAGAGAGAGAGAAGCAAACAAACAAATGCCTTGAGTAGATCTTCTTTGGATTTCATTTTGAAGAGACAACTACTCCTCCTTCCCGCAGCTCTGTCGCCTAGACTGGAGTGTAGGGACATGCTCACAGCTCACGGCAGCCTTGATTTTCCGCGGTCAATAGATCCTCCCACCTCAGCATCCTAAGTAGCTGGGACTATAGGCACGTGCCACAACACCCGGCCAGAAACAACTGTCAAAAAAATGTAGGGCTGGGCGCGGTGGTAGGCACCTGTGGTCCCAGCTACTCAGGAGGCTGAGGTGGGAGGGTCAGGAGTTCAAGCCCAGCCCAGGCAAAATAGGAAGACCCAGTGTCCAAAAAAACAGGTTCAGGGGCAAGCGGGGGATTTGAATATTTGAATATGGACTGGGTATTTTTTCTTTTTTTGAAGCAGGGTCTCGCTCTGTCACCTAGGCTGGAGTACAGTGGCACAATCACGGCTCACTGCAGCCTTGACCCTCCCAGGCTAAAATGATCCTCTTGCCTCAGCCTCCCAAGCAGCTGGGACTATAGGTAGTCACCACCACGCTCTGCTAATTATTTGTAGACACGAAATTTCAACATGTTGCCCAGACTGGTCTCAATCTCCTGGGCTCAAGCCATCCATCTGCCTTGGCCTCCTAAAGTGCTGGGATTGCCAGCAGGAGCCTCTGCTTTCGGCTTGGACTCGGTCTTTTTTTATATCAAATATTTCTGATTTTTAAAAAAATTATAAACATGAAAGTTACTAAAAAAAATAAAAATAAAAGGGCCGGGCGCCGTGGCTCATGCCTGTAATCCCAACAATTTGGGAGGCCGAGGTGGGCAGATCACCTGAGGTCAGGAGTTTGAGACCAGTCTGACCAACATGGAGAAACTCGCCCCCCCAACTAAAAATACAAAATTAGTCAGGAGTGGTGCTACGCGCCTGTAATCCCAGCTACTCAGGAGGCTGAGGCAGGAGAATCACTTGAATCCAGGAGGCGGAGGTTGAGGTGAGCTGAGATCCTGCCATTGCACTCTAGCCTGGGCAACAAGAGTGAAACTCCATCTCAAAAAAAAAAAAAGCAAGCCTGTTGTCAGACGTGTGTTCCCAAAACATTTATGTGTGAACTGACATAAGCCTGGGATTTGTTTTAAAATCATCCTGAAAATATTTTTTTTTGTGAAATTGATCATCGTTGATGATAGGCGATGGATGTCTGAATGTTCGTCATACTATTCTCTCCACTTTTGTATATGTCTGAAATTTTCCATAGCAAAAAGTGAACCCAAAATTAAGTTCTTAAAATAAAATAGATGAGCATGGTGGTCATCTACTTTCTTCTAAACTACATGGTGCAAGTGTAGTCTTAGCTACTCAGGAGGCTGAGGTAGGAGG